GGTGTTACTGTCTTCTTCAGAGATCTCAAGAAAAGCCTGAATAAGTATCTACAAAGGAAGCTTGATATATAGGATCCTATGCCAAGAGTTTCAACTTCATCATCTACTGGACTCCTTCCAGCTATTTCTATGAGTAAGCTTGTCCTCATTCACTTCCTGGCTCTGCCACTATCTCAGCCTCAGCATGCTTTGAAACTTGATTCCCATCCAAAAATACTCTGGCAAAACTCTCATTCCTAACCTTTCAGGCATGTCATTGAGATATCCTCCGATTACCTCCCATACAAGAATTTGATAACTTTAATCAGGTGAGGCCTGAAACTTCCTGAGTGTGGGCTTAAATGTTGCTTTTCTACATAATGGTAACAAGTTTCATCTTCTTAATTACTTACTTTATTCACTCACTGCAAGAAATGTACATTGTTATGGCTGAATGTGTCTTGCCACTTTTATCCTTATTTGGGGGGCAGGGGGAAGCCATGGTGAATGTATGAATAAAATCTTGAGACAACCAGTGTAGGAAATGTTTTTGTTTTTGTTTAAAAAAAACTCCAACAATATAAGCAGTTGCAATATGCAGCCATTTATTTCCAAACTTTGTTTACATGGTCAACAGAAGAAATCAGGATTTAGATCAGGATTTAGATAACCATCTGGTGATCAAGAGGCTTATTGATACCACCAGCTGTAGCAGGAAGAAAACACCTGTTCAGATGGCCTCTCCCAAGGACCTGTTGGATCTGTCTGGTTTGATTGCTCCCAAGCAGCCTGTCCCTGTTCATCATCAGCCCCAATATCTGGGAGATGAAACAACAGAATAGCAGACTGGAGTGACACTGGCAGATAACAAGGAAGACAATCAAACATGGGTATGAACCCAGATTATGGCTTACAGCATGGTAGTCAGGATGGGAAAGTCTCATTATTTCTCCGCTCTTATGTCTGTAGAATGCTGTCCAGCAGCTACAGTATATTTAAAGTGACCCAGATTTTGGGAAAAGATGGGCTGGAAGAATTTCCAGCAGGTCATTGTGATGTTTTTATCAAACATTTTGTGAATAAAATCTCTCATATTTTTGCAGCTGGATGCTGGCTGAGCAGATTCCAATGAGTTGGGAGACTACCACCTTGCAATATCATCTGGGATTCATTTGAGCCTTGGATTCTGATGCATGGACAGGGTCTTCAGTGGAATGACCTACACCACCTGTGGGCTGGACCCTTTCCCCCTCCTGGCTCATTTATGCAGTCAGAACAAGAAGGAGGGGCTGGATCCAAAAAAATGGTGAACACCTCTTTGAGAGAGAGAATGGCACCATGGTGTATGACCTCCTCAAATCACCCAACATGAACAACTTCTATACCATCTCCAACCTTCCCATTCTTGGAGAAGGTGGTGGGGCAATGATTACAGAAGGCCCTCTCCATCAGGATTGGGCATGGGACCAAAACAACACTGCTCAATGTTGTGATGGGATCTGGAGCATGTTGTCATTTTGTTTCTGTTGTATCTCTCAGTGGCTTTTGATACCATTGACCATGGTATCCTGAGGAAATAGGGGTGGGAGGGATTGTTCTGCAGTGGGTCTGTTTCTTCCTAAGCAATGGCTTCAATAAATGGTGATCAAGCTCTCAGTCAGTCCAACGTGGGATGCCTCAGGGCTTGGGAGAAGTTAACTGTTGGCCCTGGGTGAGATATCCAATTATACTTAATTGTACCCAATTATATATCATTCTCATAGGCCAAACAGGGAATGCTATGGAACTCCTGGTTTGGTGTCTAGAAATTGTAAAGGGTGGGAAACAGGATAAGATGTAATCCCAACAAGATGGAATAGTTGTTGGTTCAAATTCTAGGGCAATTCCATCTTGAGCTCTGGATGGGGTTATACTGCTCCAGAAAGAGCTGGTCTGCAATCTGGGAGTTCTCCTGGAGCTGAGGCTCTTACTGGAGCAACAGGTGGAGGCCAGGACTAGGAAAACCTTTGCCTAGCTTTGACTGGGACATCAGCTGTAACCATTTTTGGAACAACATCTGCTAGAAACAGCAATTTACATCTTTGTCATCACTTGTTTGGGCTACTGATATTTGCACTAAATGAGGCTGCCCTTCAACACCACTTGGAAACCACAGCTGGGACAAAATGCAGCTGCCCGCTGGCTAAAAAATGAAAGCTGCTATAACCACATTATACCTTTGCTGGAGAAATTGCATTAGCTACTATTTTGTTTCTGGGTGCAGTTTAAAATGCTGATTGATACCAGTAAAACCGTCTATGGCTTGAGTCCTGATACCTTCAGGACTGTTTAGTCTTTGTAGAATCAGCTCATCCAGTATAAACCAAAGAGGTCATGTTATGAGTCCCCATCATACGGGAGATGACCATATGGAGGCCAGGAAACAAGCCTTCTCTGTGATAGCCTGCCCCCAAATAGTCTGCCCCTGAAGTTAGGATTCTCCCTCTCTGTTAACATTCAGGGGAGTAGTTGAAATGCTATTCTTCCACAGGGCCTTCCCGGAATGAAGAGTATCATTTTCTCCAAGCTACGTGTGTGTTATTGGCAAGTTCAAGAGTTTGCAATGATGATGATGATGATGATGATGATGATGATGATGATGATGATGATGATGGTTGGGTTTTGATGACTGATATGTGGTTGGTCATCAGTGGCTCTTATTTTGGTATGGTTATTTTATTGTATCAGTTGTAAGCTGCTTAGAGCCTTTGAAGCAGCATACAAGTTGCATGAATAAATAAAAATAATAACAAACTTTGCAGACCACAGGACATTACTGCAATTACATGTTTTAAAATATTGGCACTCTGGGAGTCACTCATCAGTTGTAACAAATGCAATAGACCTAACGTATATTACCAGGGGGGCAGTTTACATGTAAATTAGCACCTGAAGGAAAATTGAGATTTATACATTCACTGCTAGCAATTAGCTACTTGGGGTTTTCAAAAAAGAGGCTATGATCGACAATTATTTTTTAATGCAGCTTCTGTAAGTTGTTTTTAGTAGTATTTTTGTTCTCTTTTCAAAGTAGAGCTATGACATTGAAAGAACCTTTTCTTCCCAATCCATGTTGTTTTGCATGATATGGCTCATTTCTGTGGTATCCCTGGGTGTATCCTGTGATCCTGCCTAGGAGAGGAGCCACAGTTACGTAGAAGGCATCCGACTAGGAGAAGAAGACCCAAGTTTAGGTCTGTTTTCTGTCATGGAAACTCACTAGCTGACTTTGAGACACTCTCTCTCAGCCTAGCCCACTTCACAGGCTGGTAAGGATAAGGTGAAGGGAAATCCCTATACAAACAGTCTTCAGATCTTGGAGAAAAAAATCATCATCATCATCGTTGTTGTTGCTGTAATTTATATGCCACCCAACTCCCATTGAATCTGGATGGTTCACAAGTAGCATAACATACATTTGCTTAATTGTTTTTATTCTGTTTTTAATTGTTAGTTGCCCAGAGTCATGCATTTGAGATAGGAGCCACATGAATTTAATAAATAAATACATTAAATAAGCATGACGTAGCATGACATAACATAACAGACTTCATTTAAATCTAATAAATAATATAAATAAACAAAATGTGGCCCTGGGCATAGAATTCAGTGACAAGAACCATAATCCTCAGACATCCAGACTAGAAAATTTTGGACAACAATGAATGGAACATCCAGTGCCAAAGGGCTGGCAAATAAGTTTTCTAGTTGTGTGACAATGATTGTTGGAGCTTAATTCTTAGCCATAATGATTATGGGCATTAAGCATTTTGGGACCATAGTGGAGCCATTTTGCTTTAGCATAAGGTCAATGAATAAAACCCTGCAGGTACAACGGGTATGAGAATGCAACCTACCAGTGAAGGCAGAGGTAACTTTTTCTCCACCATCTGGGCCCAGAAGAGCAATACACAAGAATAGCCAGGATGTTTTATGTTCTAATGAATTTAGTGAGCGTTGCATTAACTTGGAATGGAGGTATTTACAACAAATGAGGGAGGAATCCATGAGTCAGCATTTAACTTATGGTGTTTATTCAAGTCAGCTAATTTGGACTTAACTCAATAGACTCACTAATGATTTCAGTGAGTCTGTACTATGGCAAAATCCAGATCCAAACCAATATTTCTGATCTGGATGTGTAGGAGCTGAATGCACCTTAAGTTTAAATATGAGCATTAATCTAGTTTGCAGAAGCCAACCTTTTTTTTTTTTTTAATCTGAGAGCCCTGCCTATTTATCTTTGGGATGGGTGTAGTATAACAAATGAAGTGCAAAAAATAAGGACCAGAGGAAATGAAAATCGGTTGAAATACCAAAAGCTATTGCTTGCCCACTCTCAGTCCTGTAGACCCTGTGACCTTGGTCACAATACGAAAACAGTTGGCCACAGTCTTCTTCTAGGGCATTTTGCTTTCTTTGGGCTTCTAAGCCTACAGCCCTGGGATTTGCTGGTGGACTTCCACCCAAATACTAACCAGGTCCAAAGTGACTTAACTTTTTTGAGATCAGCCAAGGTCATCTATATGCTGTCATCTGCTGTGACTCAGAGAAATATGCACAACTAAATTAAGACTGCAGAATAGCATTAATGCTACTCATTTAGATTCTTAAAACTTGCCTAAAACTGCTCCCATTTTCACTTAAGGCTAATAGAATCTTACATACGTAGTAAACTCCCCAGTTTTCCTTTTTTCCCCCCTCTCTCTTTTCAGTCACTTCTAATGTTTGTCATTTATTTACTTTTTGGTTCCATATTTTTTTAAGCTTATATCTTTTTGCTCTTCAAACATTAAAAAAAAATCTTGCAAACATTGCTAGCTAGATCTTTATTTTCAGACATATGACATTCCCTCAATTCATGTTTTCAGAAAAGAATGTTAAGAAAATTAACAAGAGTTCATAGACAACCCAAAGTATCACATATCTTGTTTATTGCTGAAATGATAGTATTGCTGTCTCACAGTATTGAACTTCTAACTGAGGTACATGATCTACCCATTAAGTATTCCATAAAAAAAAAAGCCTTATTGAGATTGGAAGTCATCATTGGACAAAAATCACTGAAAAAAAGAAACAAAATGTAAGCATAGTTTCCAGCCAATGTTTTTGGATTTCACTCTCACTGTTGTAAAACTAGCCTGATCCACTAAGGGCTGAGTAGCAGAAAGATGCCAAGAGACATTGGCCAGACCCATCCATCAGGGTCTCCATGCTTTCTTGATGGCACTGATGGGAATCAACGCTGCTCCTAATTTTGCCCTTCCTATACACTTACTCCAGCTCCATCCCTTGCTTGTGTCCTTTCTGTCATGTGCCACAGTACTGTAGCGCAGTGTTTCTCAACCTTGGCAACTTG